TTCTGGACCTGGCTGCATTAAAACCAGGTCTGGTTCTGTTCTGGACCAGGCTGCATTAAAACCAGGTCTGGTTCTGTTCTGGACCTGGCTGCATTAAAACCAGGTCTGGTTCTGGACCTGGCTGCATTAAAACCAGGTCTGGTTCTGGTTCTGTTCACACACAGTTCATCCACAGATGCTGCTTAAAGCCCTATCAGACAAAGAAGAAGCCAGATGTGACCGTCATTCAGAACCGCTGCAGTCTTCTCTGGACCAGAGCTCATTTCAAATGGACTGAGGTGAAGTCCAGAACCGTTCTGTGGTCAGACGGGTCCAAATCTGAAGTTCTGTTTGGAAACCACGGACACCAAGTCCTCCGGACTAAAGAGGAGAGGGACCATCCAGCCTGGTATCTGCTCATAGGTCTAAAACCTGCCTCTCTGATGGTATGGGGGTACATTAGTGCCTCTTGTAAGATCAGCTGACACGTCTGGAAAGAATCCCTCAATGCAGGAAAGTGCCAACAGGTTTTAGATCATCTGCTCCATCCAGCTGAGAAGATTCAGAACTGAAGAACAGCTAGTATCTGCCATTCAGACCAGAACAGGACTACATTCCCTCCATCAACTGATCTCATTGGGTCCTTCAAAACTACTTTTATTACTTTTTTTTTCTTTCGTGTGAATGAACAAAGTTAGATCCAGTAACGTTGCATGCACCTCAGTGTGCACGTTGCTCAGTCATATTTAGTTTTTGTTCATGATGCTCCATGTTTTTCAGAAGCCGTTCTGTCTGCTCTTCGTGTCGAGCTCGCTGCCGAAACTTTAATCAAGACGTTTTGCTTCAGTTTCCATCATCTGGACATTTGAGTCACGGTGTTTGAGAAGTTTCCTGCAGCTTCTGGCACCATGCAGCAGCATGACTCACACTGCATTAATGTGTGGATCTAGACCCAACCAGTGAAACCTCATGTCGGACCTGACGGGATCCTGAACCCACAGGGTCTAAGGGATCCGTAGAGTTAAATGTTGGATCCTTGAAGGTCCAGACTCGTACTGTTCCTGCCTGGGAAAGCGGCTCGGCGTTGGGCTCAGCAGCGTTCTGGCACCAAACTCTCAGACATTCCTTCCTGCTCTCCTGAGGGGTGATGTGTGCGTGTGCTCGCATATGTTTGTGTGTGCATGCATGAATAAAAGTGTGACAGTGTGCACGAAGGTCAAACGGATTATTCTGACTCACATTCTTCCCGGGTCTGTTTATGATGAAACTGGGCTGAAACAGGAAGTTTTAACTTTTCTGGTGAACAGGACTCCAGCTCACGCATTCTTTATTGAAGAGCTAATCTCCTCTAAGACTCAGACTCTTCAAGTTACTCCCCTTTTCAGTTTGAAGAGTGAGCAGCTCATCGTTGAGCAACGACAAACAAGCAGCCGACTACTGACCTAAATTCTAGCAGCTGGAACGTTGGGCTGGGTCCAGTTCAGCTCTCAGAGCCAGATGTGGACAGAACAGAATGATGTGGAAAAGGAAACGCAGCAGCGCGTTCATGACTGAGCAGATTGGGTTCATATATTCGGTCTAAATGTGGGAGAAGTGAACTCATTGAAGCTTTTGGAGGCGGTGGCTGTCGTTGGGACAGGAACTCACCCACACATCTGGATCCATCAACAGAGGTGTAGAACCCCTGAGGACACTTGCAGTAGTAGCTGCCAATGGTGTTGAAGCATTCCCCCACGCCACAGAGGCCGGGGATGTTGGAGCACTCGTCCAGATCTGAGGAGGGAAGAGCAAAGACGTTCAGAGGACATTAAATCCAGAGGCGTCTCCTCTGGTGACACCATCCTCTGAGCTCATCAGCACACGTCTCTCACACAGTCCACGAGTTTGTTTCTGGGAATAAAACAGCACTTTTTTTTTCTCTCAGGATCAACGCCAGAAAGACAAAATCTGAAGCTAATCTGGAAACGATCACAGTCGAGTCAGAAGAAAGACACGAAGGAGAGAGGAAAACATTCTTCAGCTGAAAATCTGAAACACAGCGTAAGGCCAAATCTGAGAAAGACAAAGAATCAGAAATGAATCAGTCTAAAATCATTCACGACAAATAATCCTCACTGATGAAACCGGTTGGATTCATTCAGCTGCACATTAAATAATTTGGTTCAGAAAATGGTCAAATTCACTCAGACGCCCGCCTGCTACATAAAATATATCATTAATATACAGGTAATTCTTGCTTGTTGAAGCTGACAGCTGCTCAGCCTGATGAGGGAACTTGATTTTAAAACATTTATTGTAAATCAGATCAAGTCAGATGTTTTATTTGATGCTCAGCAGCAGCAAGTTTGGATTTACACATTTTGAAAAGCTTTGTTTCCTCTCATTCTGTCAAGTTTGCATTTTTAAAGCAGTCATGTTTGCTGTCCTCCTATTTTAATGTTAAATAAATTAAAGCTCTCATTATTTGGCTAAGCATTAAATGAGAAAAAACATTAAAAAGTAGATGTTTTTTTTTTTTAAATCCTCACTGTTCAATGAAAACCTTTTCTCTTCATTATTTTATTCTTTTCATGTTTTTTATAAACTGAGTGTGGATTCATGGGAGCTGAACAGAAGAAAAGTGCCAAAGGGCTCCAGAACTGTTTATTCAACAGAAACATGTTGTTTTGTTAATTAAAAGAAAAAAATACAGAAATATAAAGAGAGCCAAGGTTTCTGCCCGATAGCTATCAAATGTGAAACAAGAAATTAAATTAAATTAAAAGTTGTTGACAGAGTTGCGTGTTTGTCACACCATTAAAACACAAGTTTTAGTAAACATTTTTTCTCGTGTGTATTGTCATTAAATGAAGACGCAGTGTGGTTTAACCTCCTAGGACCTGGCATCCACATATGCAAGAGTTTGGGTCTTAGGAGGTTAAACAGCCTTAAAAGTGAAATAATCTGCATCAAATTATTATAAACAATTGATGAAATCATTAAAAAAAAAGCACTCACACTAAATACAAAAAATACTAAATTAATTAAATTAGCCTCAATGTTTCTGTTCTGGGGTTGACTTAAAAGAAGAAATACAAACATATCTTAAAAGCCACTGCAGGTTTTGATTTCATGCTTGGGTAACTTCTGGGTCGGGGCCACCATCGCAGCTCATGTGTACTGTAAGAGGCCCGCAAGCCACCGTTTGGTGATCGTTGCTGTGTAACAGCTGACATTTCCCATCATGCATTTCAGAGCTGCACAGATGACAGAAAGCTGAGAGCAGCTTTGATTTAGTTAACACTGAGAGTGTGCGGTCCTCGCCCAACAAAGCCAGAACCAGACAGATGCGGTTCTGAACTCTCCTCGTCAACATGGCGGTCCGTTTGTGTCTTACCGTCACATTTCTGGGAGACCTCGTTGAACTTGTGCCCGGCGGGACATTTGCACTCGAAGGACCCCACCGTGTTGATGCAGTTCCCTCCCTGACAGATGCCGGGGATGGCCTGGCACTCGTCCACGTCTGCACACACACGCACGACAGAAAGTTACACACGAGCAACGTGCACGCTGCGTTCTGAACACAGCTTCACCGGGTTGGACTTCCTTCATTAAAACCACGAACAGACGAGGAGGAAGAAGGTTGACCCCAAATACAAACTTCAGAGTCTCATCAGGAACTTTAATCTGAAGTGAACTGAACTTCAGGCTACGTTCAGCAACAGCTGATCCCAACGTTGGTGTCGAACCGTATCAATGCTAACGGGATGAGATAGATACTTTACTTTGTCACAGCTTCAGAAGCGTGGACTCTGATAGAGGTCAGGTTGAAATGAGAACGTCCTCACAGAGACATCAGGTCTGAGCTGTAAGAGCTGCAGAGTAAACGTTACACACAGTTGTTCTCAGACTGCTGAACCTCTGCCCATCTTTACTTCTATCAGTCTCTGTTTCCCTCCAGTCCTCTGACTGAACTGCTGATAATTCACCTCATCAGTTACTAAATGTTCCCCCAGCTGGTTCTGATCCGGACTGAACCAGCGTCTGTTGCTCCTGGAACAACTGTTCACAGACGTGTTGCTGACATCACATTCAACATTATAACATTTGATACGTGTACTTTGTTCCACTAAGAATAAAATCTGGGTTTTTGACATTTGTGGATTATTCCATTAAATTTTTATTCACTTTCAGGCAGTTTTTTGTTTTTTTTCAGATAACGATACGTTTTAACATCATTACAATAAATGACTCATGTTCGTGCTGCTGTTGTTACGCCATATTGATTTACATTATTAATGTTTAGTGTATATCTTAGATCTTTTAGCGTACCGTTTGGTGTTCATTTAGTGTATAGCTTAGATCCTTGTACTGTTTCTTCAACACTTTATATTTTTGCTATTGTTGGGTGTAACTGGGACCCTGAGTACATAATTTTGTTCCACCTCATGTACCACATTTGATGTGAATGACAATAACATTGACTTGGACTTGACTTGAACTAAATGAACGAACCGACGTGTTTGAAATGTGTACCATTACATAATTTCCTTTGAAGAATCTGAGTAAAATGAAGGAATCAGGCTGACTATCTGCAGGAGGTTGTTGACCTTCTGCCATCTCCTGAGTCGCTCATGTTCCCGTGGGTGCTGGCTCCGGTTCACCTCCCCTGCCGTGGTTCTGATGTTGTCGGGTTCGGTGCAGGGAGGCACATTTGACCAGAAATGAGCTCTCCCACGTGGCACCACCACTGACCCGTGTTACTGAGTCTGACAGTCCCGCCGCAGCGGGTGTCTGAAGGCATTCCACACACATGTAGGAGGCACCCCCGCCGACCCAATTTAACTCAATCAGAACTAATCCTCTGGAGGGGGGAGGAGGAAGAAGTTCAAATAAAGAAGATAGAAGCAGCAGTTTATTCATAAAAAGAGAACAAAACTTATAAAAACAGAAGCGCGCCTCGGCTCCGAGGTCCAGACTTTACCTTGGCACGCCCCGGTTCGGTGGTTTGGTATGAAGCCTCTCCGACAGGGGTGAGGCTGGGCCGGGCACATCTCACATGGGTGACCCCACGCCCGCCCCACCGTGGCGCAGCAAAGCGTTTTGGTGCACACAATGCCGGTGAGCTGGCCCTGGCACATCTGGTTGTTCACTGAGGCGAAGCACGGTCCGGTCCGATAATCTGCAAAGAGACCAGGAGGACGTTTTAATCCTAAACATCACCTTCCAGCAAAAACAGAAGGAACTTCCTGTTACAACCATAGAGGGTCCATGATACAGATTAGATTACAGATTAATACAATTTAGAGGTTAATCGATAGAGGCTAATCGATAGAGGCTAATCTATAAAGGCTAAACTGTAAAGGTTAATCTGTAGAAGCTAATCTATAGAGGCTAATCTGTACAGGCTAATCTATAACGGCTAATTCACACATAGAGGCTAATCTATAAAGGCTAATCTGTATAAACTAATTTATAGAGGCTAATCTGTACAGGCTAATATATAAATGCTAATCCACATACAGAGGTTAATCTGTAGATGATAATCTATAGAGGCTAATCTATAGAAGTTAATCTATAAAAGCTATTCTATAGAGGCTAATCTATAAAGGCTAATCTGTACAGGCTAATCTATAGAGGATAATTCGCATATAGAGGCTAATACACACATAGAGGCTAATTTATAGAGACTAAGCTATAGAGGCTAATCTATAAAGGTTAATCTGTACAAGCTAATCTATAGAGGCTAATCTGTAGAGGCTATTCTATAGAGACTAATTTGAATAAAGAGACTAATCCACACATAGAGGATAATCTGTAGAGGATAATCTGTAGACACTAATCTGTTGTTTTCAATGGCAGAAACTCACTCTTGAACATGCCCAGCTCTTTTTAGATGTTAGCTGTGCTTTTCCTGAGAACTTCAAACTGAGGTCACTCTGACTGCCTTCTACTGCAGGTATGATACTGACTTTTAATAAACACTCCACACAATCTCCCTTGTGAGTTGCTAATAATAATGGACTGTGAATTTGGTGCAGAAGCAACGGTTTACAGAAACAGAAGCCCTGCGGTTTAACGTCACGTCTAAGACACAGAGCAGGTGATGAAAACCTGCAGAAAGACTCCATGAAACCAGAGACGAAGAGGAAGTCTGGAAAAGTTTTTTAGGGAGGCGGCAGAGACTGAAGTGCAGTGAAAGAAGCTGACTATAGCCTGCATCGCTCCCTGCGTCGTGTCTGAGGGGAGAGCTAAATGTTTGTGTAGTTTGGTGCTTTGGATTATTTTTGTAGCGATCAGAGGAAGCAGATCGTGTTTAGCCTCGGCTGCCAGGGTGTGCCTCTGGAACAGAGGAGGTGATTTCCACACCAACACTCTGGAATTAAAACTAAATCGTTCCCAACATTTATGACGGTGTGAAGAAAGTCCCTCCATTAAGACCCATGTTCCCCGCCCCGTTAGAACAGGTTCTGATCTGGTTTCCCTGGGCCAGATGCAGGCTGTCACTTTCTCACTTCATTTTTCCTCCAAACAGCTCCTTAGCTGCAACCTCCCAAACTCATCAGCTGAAGTACTGGAAGCACCGATCCAGACAGAAGGAAAGGTTCTGGACCAGATCCAGAAGCAAAAATCCTTTTTACAGCAGACAGCAAGAGGAAAGAGGGGGAGCGGGTCCAACAGAGCAGTCGTTTCAAACAATCGAGACATTGTGTGTTTCCCGTTTTGACCCGGGCCTAGTCCAGTCCCGTCATGTGCACCACAGCCTCCTCTGGCACCGGTTCTGTGCAAAGAAGAACTGGGTCATCTCTCAGCCCGTCTCCTTCCCTCCTGCTCCAACTCCACTGGAGACCAAATACTTTTGATTCTTGGTCAACTTCATATTCCAGCAGAAGGGAAGGTAACTGGGTCCGATTCTGATCCAGAACAAGGAGCTCCAGGGGAAATGTCCCAAACACATTTTCCACTCAGCAGGTTAAATTCAGAGGTAAGGACAGCAGGAGAGCTAAAGTCTGAGTGCAGACAAAAAAAGTTCAGCAGACAGACGGTGACAGGTTCAAGGTCCGAATGTTAAACAAAAAGTTTAAAGATGCTTCTTTTAGCCAAACGGAGGAATCCACAGATACCATCTTCAATATCATCAGTCTGGTACTGTGTACTGGTACATATTCATTCAACCTTTATTTAAAAAGGTTAATCCCATTGAGCCTCGAGGACTCATTTACAAGAGAGACCTGATTTCAACAAAGAATGATGACAACAATGGACAACAGCAACAACAATAGACAATCATAAAAGAAGCATACAAATTACATTTTTTTACTAATTGAAATAAGATGGCAAACAAAGTAGCAAAAACCGATAGATTATGAGGCGAATGTAGAAAACTAAAAACAGGAACATGTCTGCATTGGTCCTTGCCAGGAGTCCAACAGATTCTTAAAGCCACTTAGAGAGGTCAAGGTCGAGAGCTCTAAATGTACAAATCGGATTCCAAAAAAGTTGGAACACTAAACAAATTGTGAATAAAAACTGAATGCAATGATGTGAAGGTGCCAACATCTAATATTTTATTCAGAATAGAACACAAAGCACAGATCAAAAGTTTAAACTGAGAGAATGTATCATTTTAAGGGAAAAATCTGTTGTTTCCAAATTTCATGGCATCAACAAATCCCAAAAAAGTTGGGACAAGTCCATTTTTACCACTGTGTGGCATCCCCCCTTCTTCTTACAACACTCAACAGACGTCTGGGGACAGAGGAGACCAGTTTGTCAAGTTTAGAAATAGGAATGCTCTCCCATTCATGTCTCATACAGGCCTCTAACTGTTCAATCGTCTTAAGCCTTATTTGTCGAACCTTCCTCTTTATGATGTGCCAAATGTTCTCTATATGTGAAAGATCTGGACTGCAGGCTGGCCATTTCAGTAACCGGATCCTTCTCCTACGTAGCCATGATGTTGTGGTTGCTGCAGAATGTGGTCTGGCATTATCGTGTTGAAAAATGAAGGGTCTTCCCTGAAAGAGATGACGTCTAGATGGGAGCATATGTTGTTCTAGAACCTGAACATAGTTCTCTGCATTAATGGTGCCTTTCCAGACATGCAAGCTGCCCATGCCACAAGCGCTCATGCAACCCCATACCATCAGTGATGCAAGCTTCTGAACGGAGCGTTGATAACAACTTGGGCTATCCTTGTCCTCTCTGGTCCGGATGACATGGCGTCCCAGTGTTCCATAAAGAACTTCAAATCGTGACTCATCTGACCACAGAACAGTCTTCCATTTTGCCACACTCCATTTTAAATGACCCCTGGCCCAGTGCAAACGTCTGAGCTTGTGGAGCTTGCTTAGAAATGGCTTCCTCTTTGCACTGTAGCCCTGAGACCATTCTGTTATTTCCTTGACAGTGGCATTCCTGTTTGAGGTGCAGTGACGTTTAAGGGCCCGGAGATCATGAGCATCCAGTAGAGTTTTACGGCCTTGACCCTTACACACAGCGATTGTTCCAGATTCTCTGAATCTTTTGATGATGTTATGCACGGTTGATGATGATAACTTAAAAGTCTTTGCTATTTTATTTATTTTATTTTATTTATTATTTTATTTTATCTGGGTAACACCATTCTGGTATTGCTTCACTATCTTTCTGTGCAACAATGGTGGAATTGGTGATCCTCTTACCATCTTGGCTACTGAGAGACACTGACACTGAGAAGCTCTTTTTATACCCAATCATGTTGTCAATTGACCTAATTAGTGTTAATTGGTCTTCTAGCTATGTACATTTACATGTTACATTTACTCAGATTAAACTTTTGTTCTGTCATCTATGTTATATTACAAATAAAATATTGACATTTGCCATCTCCACATCATTGCATTCAGTTTTTATTCACAATTTGTTTAGTGTCCCAACTTTTTTGGAATCCGATTTGTATATATATGTAGATATAAATGTGTTCTGTGACTTGGTGCTATATAAATAAACTGAATTGAACTGAATTGAATTGATACTGCAGTACCGACACTCAGGTCTCACCAGAGCTGTCAGGAGGAGGAGGCGGAGCTATGTCACCTGTGCAGACATAGTTTTTCCTGTTGTGGCAGTCCTGATCCATTCCTCACCTATAGGTGGCGGTAATGCACCGTAAAGTTATTTGATAGGCGCTAATAAACACCAGAAGATGAAAAAGAAGTCATATTCAATTCAGTTTATTTATATAGCGCCAAGTCAAAACAGAAGTCGTCACAGGCACTGAACAGAAACATTCATATATAAAAATTATAAGTTAACTTTATTCATCAATGTTCGAAGAATGAAGCATTGGTATATTTTCATATACAAAGCCATTTTAGGAAAATTACCATCATATATCTGCTCCAATTTCATTACACTACAGAATACACACAGTCTCAGGGCCAGTAGCTGGCTGAGGTTTAAGGTACCCTTTGTACGCACAGAGTCAGCAAAGATGAGTTTGTCCTATTTCGGCCCGTGGTCTTGGAACGAGCTGCAGCTTAAGTTGAGGTTGGAGTCTTTTATTCCATTAGCTAGTTTTAAACAAAAATTGTCTGAGGTTTTAGTAAAATCTTGTACCTGTAATGTTTAACTGTTTTGTGATTTTCTTAACTTACATTGTATTTTATGTTTTATTGATGTATGTTTCTTTTACTTATATTTTATTTTTAATGCATTGATACTGTTTTTAAGACTGTTGCTATATGTGTATATAGCCCAGGACATCCTTGTAAAAGAGATTGATGATCTCAATGGATTTCTTCCTGGTAAAATAAAGGTTTAATAATAATAATAATAATCTGAGGAGCAGACTGCTTTGAATTTAACTTCAACACAGAACTTTCATCTTGAGCAAGCATGAAGGCAACGTTGGAAAGGAAAAACTCCCTCCCCTTTGCAAAAAGTAGTTTATTTAATTGTACTACAAGTATACTTATTTTACACTAAAAATGCGGAAGTGTACTTGAAGTTTACTTTTTATAAACTGTATTTGATATACTTAAAAATAGTATAGTGAAGTATACTTGGCTAATACTGAAAATTATAAAGAGAAGTCTAAGACTAAGTACATTAATACTAAGCCTTAACGTAAACGTATAATTTAATATTAAAGCTTATACTTGTAATTGCTACTCTTTATTTCTTTATTATTTTTATTAT